ATTGTTCTACTTGCCCAGCACACTCCAGCCTGGTCAATAAGCTGTACCCTTAGCCAGGCTCGGTGGCTCAGCCTATAATCCCGTGCTTTGGGAGGCTGAGGTGAGTGGATTGCCTGAACCTGCGAGTTCGAGACCCGCCTGGGCAACTTGGCGAGACCTCATCTCTACGATAAATCAAAAAATTAGCCGGGCGTGGTAGCGCGTGCCTGTAGGTCCAGCTACTTGGAAGGCTGAGGTGGAAGTATTGCTGGAGCCCAGCAGGTCGAGGCTGCGGTGGCCAGGAGCACGCCACTGCACTCCAGTCTGGGTGACAGAGTAAGACTCCAACTCAAAACAATAAATAAAATAAGCTGTACCCTTAAGTAGTAAAGTGTTTTGTCTTATTTTTAATCCCACAGGGCTGCTAAGGAAGCAAAAAAAGCTAAGCAAGCATCTAAAAAGACTGCCATGGCTGCTGCTAAGGTAATTATGGGTTGCTTGGATTTCTTAAGCAATACAACAGGAAAACTTTTAATCCAAATTTTTATATAAAATTTCAGTTTTAAGAAACTTATTGCAAGGTCTGATTGGAAATGATGTTTGTAACTGATTTCTAAGTGAGTGGTTTGGGTCTCCAGAGAGTTCCCCTGTCCAGGAGCCAAAGCATTTGTTAATGTTAAGAATTGGGAAAGGGGAAATAAAGGGTGGCTTTTGTATTTCAAGCTGTATTTTTTTGAAATAACTTTAACTCAGAGGTTTACAGTAATAGTAGAGTTTACCCAGCTTTTTCTCAAGGTTACCAATTTTGTAAAGGTTTCAAAACCAGAAATTAACATCTATCCTATACCACAAATAAAACATAATGTTCTCTGTTAGGATACAATTCAGGATCCCACGTTGCACTTAGTTGTATGTCCTTACTCCCCTCTAATCTATGATGATGTCTTAGTCTTCATCTTTCGTTGTAAAGATGGACTTTGAATATTGGGTGGTGGTTTACATCAAATGATTGGTAATATGAATGCAGTTAAACTACAAGAAAGTGATCTAAGATACATGGAGAATCTGGACGTAAGAGATGGGTAATAAAATGTTCCACTTATCTGCCTAATCTTGGATTGTAACCCACATCTTTAAAATAAATTTTTTAAATGTTTTGTGGAATAATTACACACATGGCATGTTATCTTTTTACAGGCACCCACGAAGGCAGCACCTAAGCAAAAGATTGTGAAGCCTGTGAAGGTTTCTGCTCCCCGAGTTGGTGGAAAGCGTTAAGTTGGCAGATCTGATTTTTAAATAAAGATCTGACTGTAACTCTTGGTTGTGCTGTATTTTTTTTACTCTTGTAACAGGCATGTTGGGCCTACATAGTGATAGGAGAACTATCAATGCTGCTGAGAATTTAAGAAGTAGACAGTTTTTAAAAGTTAATTTCTAGGAGGCTGGGTGGGTTGGCTCATACCTAATCCCAGCACTTTGAGAGGCAGAGGCAAAGAGGATTGCCTGAACCCAGGGGTTTGAAGACCAGCTTTGGACACCTCGGCGGGACCTCATCTCTAAAATAAAAAATTTACCCTGGTGTGGTAGCGTGTGTCTATAGTTTTGCCATTTGGAAGCTGAGGCAGAAGGATCTTGAGCCTAGCAGGTTCAGGCTGTGGTGGTGGTTGTGATGTCATTGCACTCCAGCCTGGACGACAGAGTGCGACTTCAAATTAAAAAACAAACAAAAGTTCATTTCTCAGGAATAATGCCTCCTAAAGTCAGTTGGAGAGATGTCAAGCAAAATACGATTCATAAAATCAATGGTTGAGCACTGGCTTTGCTTAGCTTCAGTGTCTTGGGCACAGACTTCATTGTCTTTTTGGTTACACGGCTGCAAGTACTAGGATGCTGCATAGATTTAGTCCAGGTGAATATAAAAATGTGCTTTTCTATAATTTCTCTGCTTGCAGAAAGTAAATCTTATATGACTTTCTTGTTAAATTACCTTTTCTCATAAATATTTTATAATGGGTTTGCTTCTATTCATTGGTATCCCACCTTACTAATAGCTGAAAGCTGAGTTGAAGGTGCTTAAAACTATCAGCTGTATTCTGCTCTCGCTCACAGAAAATTAGTTTAAATGGAGAGTGCTGCTTCGTGGGTAACTAGATTTCCAGAGTAGTTTGTTGAGCTGGGGAGTTGACAGCCATGTTAAATTGCAAAAATGTTTGAGTAGCTGGAAAATAACAAGCGATTATAATTTATTTAAAGAATAGACTACCGAAAGCAGTCTGTTACCTGCCAACCTGTGCAAAGTTAAGGATACTATGGACAAATGAGTCCTCTTGAAAACATGCTTTTTTACATGTAGGAATATTAGGTCAAGGTATCGTCAACATTTCCCCAATTCTATCCAAGGTAAAAGGAATAAGCCCCTTTTGGGAACGTGATGTGTGAGATGCACTCAGACCTTTGTCCATAAAGGGAAAATATTAAACATTTTACTTCAAAAAACCCTTTCATTGTAATGACAACGTTTTTATGGAATTACAGTAGAAATATCACTTAGCTGTGGACAAGGAAAATAAAATATTCGCAGAGTTATGGGTTCTAATTTTTGGATATGTTATAAAATGTACCTTTATTGCTTTTCTGGTCTAAATTTTGGCTTTTAGTAAAGTGGAACTTCTGATTACCCTTGAGTCCTAGGTAGCTTGCAGCCCAGAAGGAGCTGGAAATAAACATCAATTACCTGTTCTCATGGTACAGCAGGTTTAGCTTTGCTCAGGAAGACAATTTGTCCATAGGGAAAGCATTTTATTAGAACGTCTGTTTTAATTGGCCCAAAGGAGAATCCGAGCGTTAGTGGATTCAGTGATTTCACGCGCTGTATTTTAGCAGAAACTGGGTGGAGGAATGTGTTTTTTAAATTTGTAGTAGTATTCGTCACTTCCACTTCTGTCATTTTTACATCCTACCTGTATTGTTGACTTAAAATTCTATTTAAATCTATTTCGTCTTAGAGGGATATAACTGCAGAATTGCAGTGGGGCTGGCCAAGCATCCTTTTAGAGGGTGGATTTTGGGGTTCTGCTTTCTGTCCCACTCCTCGGGGAAAGGGGTGGGACGCCATTTTTTAATTCCTCCCTCTTCCAGCGGTAATCGCGAAGTCTGCAGACTGATTAATCCTAAGTAGATGCCCGACCTTGTGTCTTGCTTTTTCTCTGAGCCTCGGAAGCTCACGACCCTACACCTGTAGTCTTCCAACGATGCCGCCTCACGTGTCCGGGCTATCTGGCGCACACGTACACGCCCCAATGCCACGGAGACTGGGCGCATCCTAGTTTTGAGCGCCTGCATTAACCTTACCTGCTTCCACGAGGGTCTTAACGGAGGCTGCGGATTCCCTGGTGGAGGAAGAGGACTGAAGTTTCGCCGCCAGCGCCCGACCCCAGTTGCCAGGAAGTGCAGTCCGCCCCGAGCTCGTGGGAGGAGGACCGCCGGACTACCAACTAAATGCCTCAAGCAGGACTCTCGGTGCCCACCGGGAAACGCAGCTCGTCTGTCAGCCTCTTGTGCCCTTGGTATATGTTGGGTGTAAAATGGAGAACGTTTCCCCCTAGATTTACGTAAAAACATACGCAATTGAAGCTCTACGAAAACAGTGCTACCTACCCCTTCCCACCTTTCTCCATCACGATTGCCCTTTATGTGCAGAAAATTGTCCCTATGCATGCTGATCATTCCAGAAAAATCGCGACTATTCCTGGTAGCTTTTGAGCTAACATTTGAAAGTTTAGAAGCGACAATAACTTCTATCATCGAGGGACTTAATTTCTTTTTTTTTTTTTGAGTCGGAGTCTCACTCTGTCGCCCAGACTGGAGTGCAGTGGCTGCTCCCGGCCACCGCAGCCTCGACCTGCTGGGCTCCGGCGATCCTTCCGCCTCAGCCTTCCGAGTAGCCGGAATTACAGGCATGCGCTACCACGCCCGGCTGATTTTTTGATTTATTGGAGAGATGAGGTCTCGCTGCCCAGGCGGGTCTCGAACCCGCGTGCTCAGGCAATCCACTCACCTCAGCCTCCCAAAGGCGCGGGATTACAGGCTGAGCCACCGAGCCCGGCGAGGGACTTAATTTCATAACGCTTATTAAATGGAACCTAGATTTCCCCATGGCTGGAGCCGTCTTTGGTCCTGTCTAGAGACGGACAGTTTGCTAGGAGGGTCGAAACCTGATGCTTTTACGTCGGGCCTCTCAGAAGGTTAAAAAATCCTACTCCTTTACCCCTCCGGAGGTCTGGGATGAGATCACAACTGCCCACCAGCTCCTCCCACACGTGGCTCCTTAGAAAGCGTGGGAAAGAAGGGAAAAATGAAAAGGGGAACTGCCAGGACTTAAGATGTCCGCCCAACGACCCCCTCGATCTCCCACGAAGGGCCTACCCGCTTCCAAAATGTCCGCCCGCAGGCCTGACGTCACTCAGTCGGCCCCATCCAGCCAGAAAACGACCGTGCTCCAATCAGGGCGCGGGCCCCGCCCTCGACGCGCGTCACTTCCGGTGGTGCAGCAGCCATTTTGTCAGTCGCCAGCGGATCCCGCGCGCTGGAGAAGTGCAGTTCCCCCTGGATACCAACCCGTCCGTTCTCCCTTCACGCTGAGGGCGCCGTCGAAGAGCGCTCGCCAGAGGCGCGGCCTTGCCTCGCCACAGCGCCGCCGCTGCGGCT